ACCATCTCTGTCCTGTCTTATCCTCGTTATTTTATCATAGAATTCCAGAAGGTTTGTTAGGCACGATTTCCCTGTCCAGAACCCATGTTGATGTTTGTTCACAAACCTAATGTTCTCCAGGTGTGCAACCAGTCGTAGCCTAATTATTCTTTCCAGTATTTTACAGGGGATGCTTGTCAGTGATACAGGTCTGTAGTTAAGTGCCTCCTCCCTATCTCCTTTCTTGAAGATCGGCACGACATTTGCCTTCTTCCAGCAACTGGGCAATTCTCCTGACATAAGTGACTCATTAAAGATCATTGCCAGAGGCACGCTGAGGGCCTGTGCTGCTTCTTTTAGTATCCACGGTGATACTTTGTCTGGTCCAACTGCTTTAGTTGCATCTAGAGTTGTCAACTGTTTCATTACCTCCTCTGCTGTCACCTCTATATCTGATAGTCTTTCATCTAGGGTAACCCCTTCCAACAATGGGAGCTGCTCAGGCTCGGTAGTGAACACTCCATGGAAACTGGCATTCAGTGCCTCGCAGATTTCCTTGTCACTTTCAGTATATGCCCCCTCTGTCTTCCTTAGTCTTGTCACTTGGTCGTTCACCGACATTTTTCTTCTTATATGACTGTGTAGTAACTTAGGTTGTTTTTTCGCTTTGATTGCAATATCGTTCTCATAGTCCCTTTCCGATGTTCGTCTTATGTTAATGTAATCGTTCCTAGCTCTGTTGTATCTGCTTCTGTTGTCCTCTGTTCTTTGTCTTCTGTACTTCCTCCACTCCCGCCTGCTGGCCATTTTTGCTTCCTGACACTGTCTATTAAACCATGGGTTATTATATTCCTTCTTATTTTTTCCCTTTACCGTTGGTATAAATCTCTCTTCGGCCTCCTGGCATTTCTGTATGACTAGGTCCATCATATCTTGGACTGTTTTTCCTCTAATTTCTTCCTCCCACTGCACTTCACCCAGATAGTCCCTTATCCTCATATAGTCCCCTTTCCTGTAGTCAGCTCTCCTTTCCCAGATCTCTTGTCCCATGGTCATAATTTTGAATTCCATCATGTAGTCAAAGACTAGGACACAATGGTCACTGGCCCCTAGAGGTATTTCATGCTCTAAATTCTCGATATCTTCTACGTTCTGGGTGAAAATCAGGTCTAATAGGCTCGGTGCATCTCCTCCTCTTTCCCTTGTGTCTTCCTTCACATGTTGTGTCAGGAAATTCCTGTCTATAACATCTACTAATTTTGCTCCCCACGTTTCATCCCCTCCATGGGGATTCCTTGATTCCCAATTTATCTCTCCATGATTTAGGTCCCCCATGATCAGCAGCTTCGCTCTCATTCTGTGGGCTAGTGTTGCTGCCTTCTGCAGTTCATCTATACATGCTTTGTTGTTGTCATCATACTCCTGCCTGGGTCTTCTACTGTTTGGTGGGGGATTGTAGATTACCATGATCACAATCTTCCTCCCATCTACTGTCAGAGTTCCATGTATGAAGCTTGTGCACTCATTGGTAACTCGATTTCCCAGGTCTTCAAACTTCCATTTCCGCTTTATTAGGAGTGCTACTCCCCCTCCCTGTCTCTGTGTCCTCTCTTTTCGTATCACCTGGTACCCTTCAGGAAAGATTGCATCTGAGATCATGTCATTAATTTTAGTTTCCACAATTGCAACTATGTCAGGATCTGCTTCACTCACTCTTTCTTTTATCTCTTCTGCTTTATTAGATACCCCATCAGCATTGGTGTACCAAACCTTGAGATTCTTCATGGAAACTCTTGTACCAGAGTTCTCCCTTTCTCTGGGGGTCTGGGGGGATCTGGGGGATGTCTGGGGGGTGACTGGGGGCAGAGGGGATCTGGGGGATCTGGGGGGTGTCTGGGGGATGACTGGGGGCGGGGAGGGTCCGGGGGATGTCCGGGGGGATCCAGGGGGTGTCTGGGGGGGTCCGGGGGGTGTATGGGGGGTGAAAGAGTTCAGGAGGGGTGCTTGGGGGGCTACTGGGGGCTGGGCTTCTAGGAAGGTAGGTAGGAGGGTCTGGGGTAGGGCCTGGGTAGGTAGGTCTGGAGTAGGAAGGGCATACTGGGTCTGAAGATTAGGGAGGGCATAGAGGGGTTGGGAGATGGCGTAAGGTTGGGAGACAGATAGAGGTTGAGAGGTTGGGAGGGGGATGGATAGAGGGGGTGGGGGGGACCTCCCACCTCCCTCGCAAGGGTGGGGGGTCACATGGAAGGAGAGGGGATGAGGAGGGGTGAGGGCAGGGTAGGCTTTGGGTGTTGAGGGGATGAGGTCTGGGTGGGTTCTTGGGGTTGAGGGGATGAGGTCTGGATGGGATTTGGGGGTTGAGGAGATGAGAGCTGGGTGGGTTTTGGGGGTTGAGGGGACGAGGGCTGGACGGGTTTTGGGGGTTGAGGTGATGAGGGGGTCCTTGGAATGTGGGATGAATTTGACTCCAGTGGGGTCAGAGGGGTCAAGGGATGTGCTGGGGAGATAAGCAGGGGCGGCTGATTTGGGAAAGGGGTGACCTGAGAAGCACGTGTGAGCTGGTTAGCATGGGGTGGATTAGCACTGGGGTGTGTAGCTGCGCTCAAATGGGAAGAGTCGTATTGTTGTTTGCTTGCTCTGTGGGCAATCTGTTCCTCCTTCGTCATGAATTTGTCAATAAATACGTTGTAGTAATTTTCGCTACCTCTGAGTAGGTGTTTGTGATGCAGTATGTAATCCACTGCCTCTTCGTTAGTGAACTGTACCAGGACAGGTCGTTTCCTGTTACAGTTGTATGGTCCAATGCGTCGGTGGACTTGCACCTCATTCCCTGCCATCTGGGCTCTCATGTCTCTCAAGATCCCCTGTAGTTCCAAATCCTCAATCTCCATCCTTTCCTGCCTCGATGGTGCCCTGGCTTCAAGTAATCCATGGATTATGATTGTCCTCTTTCTCAGTTCAGGGTCATGCTGGTGGCCCTCTCCCTGGCTGACCCCCACCCCTCCTACACCCGCTACTCCACCTACTACTACTACTTCCCCTTCCCCTGCCAAGCTTCCCTTATTCCTGCCAAATTCATTAGTAAGCCTAGATATTTCTCCTTGCCATTCTACCCTGCTCTTCCTGATTTCCTCTTGAATATAATCCATAAACTCTTGTTTGAGTCTTTGAACCTCGCCCTGTATCTTATTAAAGACTTCACTTTTAATCCCCTGGATTAGATCACCTATCCAAACATCCCTCTTCTCTACAAATTTCCCAATCATCTTCTCCACAAACCTATCTTCTTCCTCAATCATAATACTGCTGGACCTAGACGCCCTTCCTGACCTAGTCATTGCTATAATGCAACCTTACCCACAGGGGTTCCAAGTATCTTACCGTCCTGCTAACACAATAGGTGAGTGAATCTCCAAGCGTCGTCCCCGTGGTGGTAGGAGGGTTGCTGCCGGGGTGAGGTCACGCGGTCAGAGGTCGGTGAGGTCTGCTCCACACTACACACTGCCACAATACTACAACTATTTTGAATTACGCTATTTAAACTGTTTTTCTTCACTACTTTATGGCTCTGGCCAAAACTCAAGGTTTTTTCATTCACTTGTACACACTTTTTCACTTCGAAGTTGCCTGATTACCCCTCCCACTCCACTAGTGAACCTGGAGCTCCCAACCCACGTCCACCCACCACGATGGTCACAAGACAAGTGTGTGTGTGTGTGTGTGTGTGTGTGTGTGTGTGTGGTCTGAGGTGTTTAATCCTAAACAACATTAATACTAATCGACAGTGAAATCACATGAACGAAGTTTATCTAAGATCATGTTTGGGTCTGGTATGATCACTTCCCCGAACTCCCAAGGTTGTCGGCCGGTACTGTGGATGGGTCTGGGGGCGCCAGGGGACGCGGGTTCGATCCCATTGTAGGGCACCTGTCTCACGAATGTCATCGTTGAGATGAGCGGATGTTTTTAGTGCCGGCCGGAGGTGGTGTTGGGAGCGTCGGTTACAACGTCATGCACAACCAGCTAAGCTAAGCTGGTCATCGATCCTGGGTTTTGTAACCGCGTGTCCCCTTATGTCCGGGGTTCTGGTATCCGGCCGGCCAGAGGGCGGTCGACACTGGCTTGCTCTCTCTCTCTTTCTCTCTCTCTCTCTCTCTCTCTCTCTCTCTCTCTCTCTCTCTCTCTCTCTCTCTCTCTCTCTCTCTCTCACTCACTCACTCACTCTCTCTCTCTCTCTCTCTCTCTCTCTCTCTCTCTCTCTCTCTCTCTCTCTCTCTCTCTCTCTCTCTCTCTCTCTCTCTCTCTCTCTCTCTCTCTCTCTCTCTCTCTCTCTCTCTCTCTCTCTCTCTCTCTCTCTCTCACTCTCTCTCTCTCTCTCTCTCTCTCTCACTCTCTCACTCTCTCTCTCTCTCATCTCTATATATATATATATATATATATATATATATATATATATATATATATATATATATATATATATATATATATATATATATATATATTCCTCGTGTACGCATATATGGGGGGCATCCCCAGTTAAGCCGGATCAAAGCTTAAAAGCGTTCCTTGCAATCTAGTAAACTGGAGTAGGACTCCACCCTCCCCCCCCCCGACCCCCACATTGCAAGATGCACATTTTCTTTGCGTTTCCAGGTTGGTTTTCTGTTCTTGTCTTGACCTTCTCAAAGTGTCTTGGTGGACTAACTGGCGGTAACATTCGCGGTGCTGCCCCCTTTAACGAGGCACTCAACACTGTTTGTATTAGATATGGGTGATGAGGGGGAGATGGGGGGGGGGTTTAGTGGGAGGGGGGAGATAGGTGGGAGGGGGATAGAGGTGGGAGGGGGGAGAGGAAGGAATCCCTGGATGGGTGGGAGAGAGGGGGACAGAGAGAGGGGGACAGAGAGAGGGGGTCGTTGATAGTGGGGGATTGGGGGGATAGGATGGGGGTGAGAGAGGGGGGAGGGGAGTGTTATGGAGCCGACATGGAGGGTGTCCCGGTGGACCCGGGCTGGTGTAGCCTCAGTCGCTGCTAGAGAGAGGACGAGACCACACCCGCACTCTCCCCTCTCTCGACTCACACGCTCGACACGTCGCTCCTCCTCCCAAACTCTCCGGAGCACTCCTTCAACACTCCTCCTCTTCCTCCTCCTCCTCCAGACGCCATAGCCTGACCTCCTTGGTCTTGTCTCAGCTACCGTCCCACGGTCTGGTCTACCCTCCTACCACCTCCTCCAAAACAAGACATCTTAGATGCATTTGTAATACGCCTTTTTTGATAACATTCCAAGAAGCGTTCCTTTCCCTGTAACTAGTGCCAGCTCTGAGGATTCATCTTGCAAGTGACACTGCGAGCCGTTGCTTCACTCCCCGGGGCATTCTAAAGTGGATAGAGAGGATAGAGGAGCGTGCTGCCCGGGACTTGTAAGTTTGTCACTTTTTCTCCTCAACTCGACGTTCAAGCGGTCTATCCTGCGCGCGACTAGTGCTTGAAGCCAACCTGGTGACGAATTGTGTATGTGTGATGTGTTGGTGAAGTTGGAGGTAGTGGTGGAGAAAAGTCCCTCCTCCCCCTCGCCCTCGCCCTCATCAGGGCGGTGATGGAGAAAGCAGCGCCTCCTCCGCCCTCACGCCCACTCTCCACTACCTAAACACCCTCGTTATCTCTTCCTATCTCTCTCTCTGTCTTTCTCTGACTGTGGAAACTTTTTATTAGAAAAAAAAAACATTGATTCTCCCCCCACGAGGAAAAATTATAATGTATTGAGTTGGAAGTTCGGTACGAACCTTTTCCCCCCACACACCCGACGACGGCTGTTGTGACAATCGTAAACAGACAACAGACTTGAACAACACGAGGTTGATGTTAGAACATAAGCTTCGAGACACAGCCAGCGCCCGCGCTAAGGTTGCGCGCCCTTCCTAATCGTCGCTCTGCACTCAGATGGGCGCTAACCAGGAGCAAGAGAGTGATCTTCTCTGTGAGTATTGTACCATCCTCCCCCCATCATTCTCCCCCATCATCCTCCCCATCATCATCCCCCATCATCCTCCCCCATCATCCTCCCCATCATCCTCCCCCATCATCCTCCCATCATCCTCCCCCATCATCCTCCCCCATCATCCTCCCCTATCATCCTCCCCCATCACCCTTCCCCATCCCTGCATGAACCCAACAAACATGTCATTATCCTACATAGTTGTGTAGTAAGCTGTACCTGTACAGCTACTCCAAACCAGACTGACACCAGAGCACAACTCCATAGTCGCCTGTGACTGATGGATGACTACTACTACCTGTAGCTAGCATTCATCTGTGTCCGGAGGGCCAACATATTGTAAATATTTCATGGATTGTTAGTTCAATGAGAAATGTGTGTGTGCATGCTATTTTAGTGTTTACATTCGCCTTAAGTACAAACACAATATATGTTTCGGTGTTACAAGTGAGTATCTTCAAGACACAGGCGGCTAGAGGACTAGCCTCGGGGTGTAGTGTGTCAGTGTCATCTCACACATCACCGGTGTCAGACACGCGTGTGTGCGAGCACATCTCTTGACACCTCCTAGTGTGCACTTAAGGTCGAAGGCTACATAGACACACCTCTTGCCACATACTAGCGCTCTGAACGTATAACACATCACTATACTCTTTAGATCAGAGTTCCTACCTGTGTAAAACACACTCCCGACACATCCCAGTGCTCTAAGGGTCACAAGGATGTAGTCACCTCTTTACACCGCTGGAAATTTGCCCTCATTCTCAACAACACAAATTACGTGTCTCTCATGATACGAAGTTTAATCAAAAGTGGCTCAAAATGCCACATGTTAATACACAGGTGCCAGGGCACCGCTGTAGTGTGTTGGTCACACCTGTGTAACCCCCCCCCCCCGGTGGTGGCACACAGGACTGTATGACAGGTGGCATAGAATTTGTCATGCCTGAAACAGGCACTCCGGTGCATACACTCCCCGGGAGAGGTGAAGTGAGTTATGAACAATATGTGGGGAGAGAGGTGGATGGTACAGGGACCCGGTGGATGGTACAGTGACCAGGAGGATGGTACAGTGACCAGGAGGATGGTACAGTGACCCGGGGGATGGTACAGTGACCAGGAGGATGGTACAGTGACCAGGAGGATGGTACAGTGACCAGGAGGATGGTACAGTGATCCGGGGGATGGTACAGTGACCCAGGGGATGGTACAGTGACCAGGAGGATGGTACAGTGACCAGGAGGATGGTACAGTGACCAGGAGGATGGTACAGTGACCAGGAGGATGGTACAGTGATCCGGGGGATGGTACAGTGACCCAGGGGATGGTACAGGGACCCAGGGGATGGTACAGGGACCCAGGGGATGGTACAGGGACCCAGGGGATGGTACAGGGACCCAGGGGATGGTACAGTGACCAGGAGGATGGTACAGTGACCCAGGGGATGGTACAGGGACACAGGGGATGGTACAGGGACCCAGGGGATGGCACAGGGACCCAGGGGATGGTACAGGGACACAGGGGATGGTACAGGGACCCAGGGGATGGTACAGGGACCCAGGGGATGGCACAGGGACCCAGGGAATGGTACAGGGGCCAGGAGGATGCTACAGGAACCCAGGGGATGGTACAGGGACCCAGGAGACGGTACAGGGACCCAGGGGATGGTACAGGGACCCAGGGGATGGCACAGGGATCTAGGGGATGGTACAGGGGCCAGGAGGATGGTACAGGAACCCAGGGGATGGTACAGGGACCCAGGGGATGGTACAGGGACCCAGGGGATGGTACAGGGACCCAGGGGATGGTACAGGGACCAAGAGGATGGTACAGGGACCCAGGGGATGGTACAGGGACCCAGGGGATGGTACAGGGACCCAGGGGAGGGTACAGGGACCCAGGGGATGGCACAGGGACCCAGGGGATGTTACAGGGACCCAGGGGATGGTACAGGGATCCAGGGGATGGTACAGGGACCCAGAGGATGGTACAGGGACCCGAGGGATGGTACAGGGACCCAGGGGATGGTACAGGGACCAGGAGGATAGTACAGGGACCCAGGGGACGGTACAGGGACCCAGGGGATGGTACAGGGACCCAGGGGACGGTATAGGGACCCAGGGGATGGTACAGGGACCCAGGGGATGGTACAGGGACCCAGGGGATGGTACAGGGACCCAGGGGACGGTACAGGGACCCAGGGGATGGTACAGGGACCCAGGGGACGGTACAGGGACCCAGGGGATGGTACAGGGACCCAGGGGACGGTACAGGGACCCAGGGGACGGTACAGGGACCCGAGGGATGGTACAGGGACCCAGGGGATGGTACAGGGACCAGAAGGATGGTACAATAGACTGCAGCAGCACAGAGGAAGCATACTGAAGAATGGCTTGAAGGTACTGGGCCACAGTACCATGACACAGTACCATGACACAGCACCATGACACAGCGCTCGGCAAGGTAAGGACTGGGACCAAGGAGACGTGGTGTGCTGTGGTGCCACGCAGGTACAGTGCCACGCCGGTACAGTGCCACGCCGGTACAGTGCCACGCCGGTACAGTGCCACACAGGTACAGGAACCCACCGTCGACAACAGCAAGTCAAAAGTTAAGCCACAGAATGTACTCCCAAGGTTTGTTGTTCATTGTATTATGGTTATGTCTCATTTATCCATGAGTCTGTGTGTCTGTTTGTCTCTCTCTCTCTCTCTCTCTCTCTCTCTCTCTCTCTCTCTCTCTCTCTCTCTCTCTCTCTCTCTCTCTCTCTCTCTCTCTCTCTCTCTGTCTCTCTCTCTCTCTCTCTCTCTCTCTCTCTGTCTCTCTCTCTCTCTCTGTCTCTCTGTCTCTCTGTCTCTCTGTCTCTCTCTGTCTCTCTGTCTCTGTCTCTGTCTCTCTCTCTCTCTCTCTCTCTCTCTCTCTCTCTCTCTCTCTCTCTCTCTCTCTCTCTCTCTCTCTCTCTCTCTGTCTCTCTGTCTCTCTCTCTCTCTCTCTCTCTCTCTCTCTGTCTCTCTGTCTCTCTCTCTCTGTCTCTCTGTCTCTCTGTCTCTCTGTCTCTCTCTCTCGTCTGTCTCTCTCTCTCTCTCTCTCTCTCTCTCTCTCTCTCTCTCTCTCTCTCTCTCTCTCTCTCTCTCTCTGTCTCTCTGTCTCTCTCTCTGTCTCTCTATGTCTCTCTCTCTGTCTCTCTATGTCTCTCTCTCTATCTCTCTCTCTCTCTCTCTCTCTCTCTCTCTCTCTCTCTCTCTCTCTCTCTCTCTCTCTCTCTCTCTCTCTCTCTCTCTTTCTCTCTCTCGCTCAGAGATACCCTCATGTATGGTCAGGGTAAACCGCTGTTTACCCGAGTGTAAACCTCGCTGTAAGGGCGAGTGGTTTATTTTATCTTGGGACTTAGCGACAAGATCAAGAAATAAAGAAATCTAGCGACATGGGGCCACGTGTCCTGAAGCATTTCAGTGTGGACTTGCGGAACCTGTTCATCTGACCTCGATCTCGCGGCTTAGTCTGTGTCTATTAAACAATTTAACAGCTTTGTAACTCGGTTCATATACTAGCTATGTTGATATATTAGCACTGTTGATAACCTCGCTTTGTTGATATACTAGTTAACGGAGCAGACGGATCTAAAACAGAACAGTTAGCTATGTTGATATTCCCATACCCCCCCCCTCCCCCCCTCATCTGGCCATGGGATTCGAACTCTTGAATAATAAGAAAGTTGTTTGGTTAAAATTAACTGTCGCCGCAAATAACTGTTCCTGGATGCCATGATTTTATTGCACAAAGACAGCAACAAAATTATCTCTGGTTGTAGCTCGCTGTGTATCTGTTATCTGTTTGTTTTTTCTATAATTGATAACATCGTGATTACTTTCTTGTACATGTTAGGTTGCAGGCGGCGCGTATGTTGGTAAAACTTAGATGTTGACATCTTTTGATGTCATACTGATGCTGATGTCTCTAGTGTTGCGTTCCTTTCATGCTAACACTTTTACTGTGGCTATGGCTGGTCTCCTCAGAGCCAAATTACAACCTACATACTCTCCTGCTCCCCACATACGACGCCTGCTCCCATACACTCCCATGTGTATGGGAGTGTATGGGAGGGCGTCGTATGTGCTGCTGACTCACACACCTGCTGAGTCAGCAGGTGTGGCGGAAGCTCCACCTGACTCATCAGGTGTATAAATCAGCCAAAATATGAAATACGCGGGTCTTTCCCACGGGCTCGCCATAGCCCGTGCTACTTGCCCCGCTCCTGTACCAGGTAATGCCACTACGGGCTCGCCATAGCCCGTGCTACTTGCCCCGCTCCTGTACCAGGTAAGGCCACTACGGGCTCGCCATAGCCCGTGCTACTTGCCCCGCTCCTGTGCCAGGTAAGGCCACAACGGGCTCACCATAGCCCGTGCTACTTGCAACTTTTTGTCCCAAATAGCAAATCTTAAACAACAACAACATCAAATACTCAAGTCACCAGAGGTCGCGGAAGGTTGAGAGGTCAACCAAGCATGCAGGTCGGAGCCACCAATACCCCGGCCAGATAAAATATAATCTTGACCCATCAACAAATAGCCGACATCGTAAGTCAATAAGAGGGGAAGGCTTCCATTTGCCTCAGTCTCCCCCACTAACAGTCCAGACAGACAGTTGATTACAGCCCCCCCCCCCTTGCGGGGGGCCGTTCATCACAATACCCCTGATATAATACTTGGTCAAATGACGCCAATACATGCAGTGAGGAGCAGCGAGCACGATAGGAGCTCCTGCCTCTCTCTCCACTACCCACAGACACACACACGTAATGGCTGTCGGTGATGTATATATATACAGCCATATTCATTACGTAATGATGTTTGGATGATGGGACGATGCGAAGAAGTGGTTAAATTGAAGCGTTGTGTGTGTATGTTTGGGTGATGTATGTGGGGCATGCTAGCCCCGGTCTTCGGGGCCCAGGGAGAGGCACACCTGACCTGTCCGTT